TACATTTAAATAGACGACAGTTTTTTCAGAAAAAGTGTCGTCTTTACATGTAATAGACGACGGTTCTTTTAAAAACCGTCGTTTTTACATATAATAGACGACGGTGAATTACCGTAGTAGTTTGACTTTCAAAAAGATGACTGTCGATTTAACGACGGTTTGAAAAAGAAAAAGACAACGGCGTTTCCCCGTCGTCTATTTCAATTTTTGTAGTAGTGTTGCTGCACTGACTTGTTTGTGTGACAATACCTTGCAATATGCCCGATCTTGTTACACTTATGACATTTGACCTTATTCTTAAGCCAACACTCCCCATAGTGCAGTTTGTCACAAAATTTACATTTATCCCCAGTATTGCTTGCCTCATTCTTCACATAAGGATTAGCGTTATTGTTACCTTCATAAGAACTAGCCTTGTTACTCCCTTCAGCCTTGTTACTCCATGATTTCCATTTAGGTTTCTGAGTCTTATTCTGGTTGTTTTGACTATTGAACCGATTAGGTTTCGATCCAATATTCAAACTCGCAAATGCCTTCTCTGTACCACTCTCACCATGCCTATCAAGCCTCTGCTCATAACCTTTCAAAATAGCAACTACATCTTGCGCATCAATAGTGTCCAGATTTTTAGTATTCTCTATCACAGCTGCAATGCTATCATAGGATTTAGGTAAGCTAATCAACAATTTCTGGACAATTCGTTGATTACTCAGATCCTCACCATAGCTTCTCATTTGATTAATTAAATCAAACAGTTTAGCAATATACCCAGAAAGTGACTCACTATCATTCATACGTGTATACTCAAAATCTCTACGAAGACCTTGAAATTTCACAAATCTTACTTGTTTGTCACCCACAAACTCTTCTTTTAAAATATCCCACGCAGCTTTCGCACTTTCCTGAGTTGCAAGCTCCTTGAATTATGCCTAATGCTCTAGCATCTTTCACCGCACGCTCACGCAACAGCTTCCTCTCCACCTCCGTGAGTGCCTCCTCCTTCATCGGAATTTTCTACCCATTCTCAACCATTTCCCATAGCTCATGTGATCAAAAGATGGTTTTCATCTTAATCTGCCAAAAATCAAAGTTTTCACCATTGAAGATTGGCGCTCTGAGTTCTCCTCCTCCGGATCCAAACGTGTTAGTCTAGATTACCGATTTGAGCTCAAGAATCACGCAACGAGTTTTTGCTTAGGGATTCTAGCCCACTCTCACAATCACAACGCCTAGAAAATTCATATCGAACCAAGCTCTGAGGCCATGTTAGAGAAAATCATAATTGGCAGATTTTGGAAGAAGAATCTCAGAGACGTTTTTGTATTCTGTTTCTATATTGCTTACACAGAACTATCAAAGCATATGAGCTCACGCTATACAAACCGTTGGAGGAGAGAGAGAGATAGACACAATCCTAAACTAAATCTCAACCATCCATTACAAGTTGTGTGATCAAGACACCTATCCAATGTTTTAAGCCTTATGAGACTTAACTAACTCAATACAATTTTAAACCATAACAACTCAGCCTATCAGCTGAGACATATACTACTACAAAAAAGGCAAATGACGACGGGAATTCACCGTCATGTATCTGGTTTTCAAACCGTCGTGAAATCGACCGACATCTTTTCCAAAATAAAACCACGACGATAAATCCCCGTCATTGTTATAACAAACAATGTCATTAACAGATAACAACCGACGTCTGTGTACTGAAAAATGAGCCAAAAAAATTGTCAATGATAAGAATAGACGACCTATTTTAACAAACAAACATCGTTTACAAGGCAACACATGCCATATTTTAACAGAACATGGCCGCAAGAGACGCATACCACGACGAAAACTAAAACTCACAGCCGTTAAATAAACCTTTCACGACACATGATCAAACAAGAAACGTTAAATACAGTTATGACGTCTTTAAATAAATAAAAGACGACGTTATTAATTCATACTACGTCACCACTATTTATATAACTGTCGTGAAATAAATTTTCCACTTCGTTTTTTCCATTAATATTGACGTGGAAATAGCGGTTAGGGTAATTACTTACGACACATGTATTTCTATAGACAACGTTATATTTAATGAACAACGTTGTCCACAAATAAAAGATAACCGTGTTTCAGAATTTATACGTCATCTTTAAAAACACGATCGTCGTCCAATATATTTTAGACGGCACAAATTTTCAGTCGATCGCCGTATAAATTTATATTAACGACATGATCTGAAAATAAACGACGTGGAAAATATGTTAGGGCTTACGACACATTTATTTCTACAGGCGACGTTGAATTTGATGGACAACGTTGTCATCATGTAAAAGACAACCGTGTTTCGAAATTTATACGTCGTCTTTACCAAAATGACAGTTGTCTAATCTATCTGAGACAGCAAAGTTTGTCAGCCAATCGCTGTGGAAAATATTTTTAACGACATAAGAATAAAAAAGAGACGCGGATATTCCCATATAACGTTGTTTTTGTAAAAGAACGACGTCCAAATATCCCTTTACGTTGACAAATTTACCTCTGGATTTCAAATGACGTCTTGAATTGTTCTTTTTCCACTTCATTTAGGAGATAACAAGTGACGTGGTAAAATTTAAGACGGCGATTTTGGAGTTGTTAAGGACGAGTTCATGATCTAAGACGTCGTCTTTTGTAACGTTCATGTTAGATATCTCGTCTTTTAGACGTCGGTATTATGGGATTGGAGTCATGTTATTTGTAATTACATGTCGGCTCTTTAGGCTTCTCCGACATGATATCGTTAATAACTGGTTCACAATACCGTCATGGTTCTTCATTTTTACGTTGCTTTTAGACGTCGGTAAATACATTGCCGTCGTTGAATGCTCCAAAACATCATTTTTTAATGACAATTTTATTAAAACAGACGTATGTTTTTCACATTTTTATCAGGACCATCGTTTTATAATATTGAACCAGTATTTTATGTGCTGATTGTTTTGTGGCCAAAGCTTGCATAATGAAAGTGAAGAAAACACATTATAATTTATTACAAAATTAATGTCATACAGTAGTGCCGTTTAGGGCATAAGTAATTTCATAAATTACATGAGCATCATTCAATCCATATATCTTCACACCCATCTTGAATATTTTGACTCCCAAACTCACCCACCAGTTCATCAAATGTGTCAACATTTGGCATCCCTCTAGTAAATGGCTCACACTCAATTCTCACATCACCTAAGACATCATCACCAATAACATCATTATATTCTCTATTAGGCATTGATAACACTACCAACCAATCACGATGCATCGGGTCGTCAACAAAAAATACTTGTTTGACTTGAGAAGTCAAAACAAATTAGTCATTCCTATGTCCAATTTTACTCAAATCTACTTGGTTGCGAGTTGAGACCATAAACCACCGTCACCCTCTCGGATCTGGTGCTCGGATACCACTTGATCCAAAACTTCTAGTCAATAGAAGTATGAATTCTTAGTTTATAGGAATAAGGGAACAAGAGAAATTTTAAGACAATTAGAGAAACGAAAAGGAAGAAGCTAAGGAAAGGCTTTGAGTTATGCTTTCAGAATTGCTTGATTCATTTCAATGACTAACTTACATATTTATACAAGGTTCAGTTGCTAAAATTAACTAAACTAAAATAGTAAATTATTTTAAGCCATAAAATCTCACTCACTTTGAAACCATTAAATTTTGTTGAGGCCCAAAAAAGTCACGGGAAGCCCAAAGACGTTTAAGGCCCGATATAACATATAAGTTTGGTCATGCGTTAATCCAAGCTGTATTTTTGGAATTAATTCATTAAATAAATAATAGTGTCCATGCCATGCGAAGCCAATAATACATTTTTCATATGTCAATCACCTATCAAACTCACATGAACCCAAGTCATGTGGTTACGGGGCTTGCGTGAGGGATTGTGGTGTGGAAGGTTACGGAGGTCCACAAGGCCCACGGAAGCTCTTGGATAATGGGGACTTTGGGCTAGCTACTTGGGAGCACCAAAGTCCAAGCCCATTATTTAAAGTTCTCCAATGTGGGTAAGCAAATGAGATATTTTCCAAGCATTTCCTTTTATCCATAGGAAATAGTCATTTTCCAAATACCTAGCTTTACCCATTGGAAACAAGCCTTTTCCAACACTCCCTATTATTCGCTGGAAACAAGCCAATTTCAACACTCCCTTTTACCCATAGGAAATAGTCATTTTCCAATGCCTAGTTTTACCTACTAGAAAATAACGTGCCCCAGTACTCCTTTTCAACCGTTGGAAATAAGCTGGTTCCATCCCAGCCATTTCTCAACCATCACAACCATGTTTCCTACTTTCTCACCCTTGAAATCCTCCATCTTTCCTATAAAGTCTCACCAAGCATAACTCCAAGCTTTTCCTTCCTCTTCATACCCTTCCAAGCTATAAACACCATAGCCTTCAAACATCAAGCTTTTCCTCCCATCCTCCTTCTCTTAAAACTCTTAAATCCATAAAGCCTCACCAAGCATAACCCCAAGCTTTTCCTTCCTTTCAAGCTATAAACACCATAGCCTTCAAATCTCAAGCTTTTCATCCCATCTTCCTCTTGAAACTTTTAAATCTCCATAGTCATAGCCACAAACAACAAATTATCAATACCCAAACTCAAGTATATCCCATACCAAGCTAAGCACATGCATTCTCATTTGCTAAACTTGTGGGTCTTTAGCTCTCACACTCCAAGCTCTCATGCCAAGCTCACACAATCTCAGTTCAACAACAACAAGTCATCTTCAACTCTTCGTTAAGCTGCCGGAAATGTCAGCACAAAACACGCAGCCGCTGGAAGAAGAACATAGTACTCCCTTGGGACATGCTTCTCCTTCGGGATGCTTTGGGCCTAATCCTCGCTAACTCAGAAAAAAGGGCAACGAAGGCTTGATCCACCACTCTATGGTGGTCCGAGAATTAACAAGCCCAGACGAGCCTTCCGACGGAAAAAGACCCCAACACCAATAAGATTGGAGAAGGGGGTTTTGGTTCTGTTTACAAGGTGTTTTTGGTTCTGCGGAACCAATATTTCTATTTATTTATTGCAGTTGGGCTAACTTGACTAATTGTAAGCATTGTTATTAAAGTTGCTCTGCTTTTTAGTGAAGGGATTTTGACTTTGTTTCTCAAATGCAGGGCCTTCTATCAGATGGCACCGTAATTGCTGTCAAGCAGCTTTCTTCCAAATCAAAGCAAGGGAATCGTGAATTTGTGAATGAGATAGGCATGATTTCTGCTCTGCAACACCCTCATCTTGTCAAGCTTCACGGATGCTGTATTAGTTTAGCACTTTATGAGAGGGAGAGAGTTGTGGGTTCCTATGAAGGATAGAGGTTCTAATGGAAGGGAAGAGAGGTTTTAAGGAGGATTGTTGGAGAGTTTTGGGTGATTTTCGTAGCTTCCGGCAGCTTGACAGTGACTCTGTCAAAGCTTCTGTCAATCTGCCAAAACAGGGGAAATAAGGGAAAATGGGCAAGGATAGCACGAAAATTGTTGGGTTTGCAAGTGAGAGAGAAAGCTTGCTCTCTGAAGGTTGTGGGTTGTGTTGTGTTGGGTAGAAGGGGTCCTATTTATAGCTGCTAGGAATGGGTCTTCTCCAAGAAACCCTAATGGTTTCTTCCCAATCTAACTAAGCTTTCCTCTTCCTTTCCTCTCCTCTTTCTTGACTTACCTCATGGTGGCAAAAATCAGTTCTGCCCAATCCCACAAAATCAGAGATTTTGGGTGCTCCAGGCTTCTTCCAGCGGCTGCTTCAGAGAGGAGCTTCTACTTTCACCCATCTTTTCCTCTTCTTTCTTCCTCTTTTCATGGCCAATATCTGATGGAGGAAGGAAAGTGGGTATGCATGCTGGTTCAGAGGACGGCACCTTCCCTTGCATGCCAATATCCCTTGGTCTTTTTACTGCCTTCACTTGGAACTTGCTCCTTCCATGTGTAACCTCCCAGCAGCCCCTTTTTTATGTGGATCCTTTGGCATTTCGTGGCTTTCTGCTTCAGCCAAGTGCTGAAGGCCTTAGACTCTTTTTATTCAAATGGTATGGGCCTTTTAATATAGAAAACCAAGTCATTTAATAAGTGGGCTAAATTCACCAAATATTTGGGTTTTATGGGCTATCTAAAGTAATGGGTTATTTTGGTTGGGCTACCCTAGTTGATGCAATGGGCTATTTCCTCTCTTGTGCTTACCCACATTTGGGCCTAAGAAAATGGGCTTGAGTGCCGAGGCCCCCAAGCGACCCGAGACTTCTATTTCCCGACCCATGGGTGGGCCCCATGACAACTTGTTACCATCCATACCACAACCCACTCAAGCAAGCCCCGGCCATTTGAGTGGCTTGGGCCCACTTAAGCTTGCTATGGGATAATAATTTCCCGCTTGGCATGCTTTTGAGTATAACGCTTGATAGGATAATTGGCATGAATTTGCAATGCTAAATGCATCCTCATAATTTTAATCTCAGTTTATTTGGCATGGCGTGCAGGGTGTGGCTTGTGCATGGCAGACTTCTGTGCACTTCAAATCGGGTCTTTTTCCAATAATATATCATTTTGGGCTAGGATTTTATTCGGGCCCAACCATGGATTTTTTGGGCCTCAACAGGCGGTCCGAGAATCGACAAGCCCGAACGAGCCTTCCAACGGAAAAAGACCCCAACAACTTTTTATGTTTTATAACAATTCGTTATAAACCATTAGTTTTTATGGTTTAAATAATTAAATAATATAATATAATTAATTATAATTATATTATATTATGTTTATTTTTGTTGGTAGATCCTCCTAGATCATCGATCCATCGAATTACACAAAAGACTTAAATTTAAAAAAAACTAGTATCGCTTTGGTTGTCATTTTTATTTTATTTGATCACCACATAACTCTGTTTGAAAAAAAAAACCAGTATCTCTTTCGCATATAAAAAGTTGGTACACAAGTTCGGCCACGTAGCGGTTTTGTATTTAAAAAAATAGACCATCAAGGTCCATTATTTCGATAACATATTGGGATTGGATTCTGGCCTTAGTTTTAGTAAGATAATATTGAGAAATCTAAATTCCAATCTAGCATGGTTTCATCATAGATTTACTAAAATTCATACTTATGTACCAGCAAACAACGCCAACCTGTGAGTCATATATACTTTAATTGCAAGTTGTACTCGTTTAGGTTGCCAAGTTATTTATGGCATGAGACATAATATGTCAATTTAGTTACCGTTTTGTTCAACAAATTAATCTCTGAAAAAAATCCACTCATGAATACACATTTTATTGGATTTATCCTTATGTACACATGTACATGTGAAAAATAAGTTACATATAATGGTAGATTTGGAAAGCACTGATAACTTAGAAATTAAGTTAAACTGTTTCAATAATTTTAAGCCACTAATTACATAAGGAATAAAATGGCAATCTTATTATGCCAATTTATTTACCATTATAGTTCGATACATTGATTTTTTTTTAGAAAATCCATACATGAACAATTCTTTGAATCCAATGTGTTCATCATGGATTTGCTAAAAGTCATACTTTTGTACAGACAAATAACGCCAATAATAGAATATATACACTTTGAATTTAGGTCGTAATCGTTTTGGCTTGAAACCTAATCTGCTAATTTAGTTACCATTCTGGTCGAGCAAATTCAACTCTTAAAATAATAATTTCTTTCATGGATACACAATTTATTTATCCTATCCTTTTCTACACATGCATTTACAAAAAACAAGTTACGTATAATATTAGGATTGGAGAGCACAAATAACTTAGAAATTAAGCTTTATAGCTTGAATATGAACCAAATTATACAAGGCATCAAATCGCAATCTTATTATGCTAACATATTTACCGTTATAGTTCGATAAATTGATTTGTTTACAAAATTCATGCATGAACAATTCATTGAATCCAACCTCACCAAAATGTGCAATAATAGAAAATAGTTTTCAAATTCGCCTATATATCTTGTAGTCTTTTTGAAAGCTAGTGACTTCGAATTTAAGTTTTATAGCACGTACAAACCTATAATCCTTTCTAGCTTTCAACAAATTGAAAAGATATGGAGAAAGGTTCATTCAAGTCAGCTTTTCTCATTGTGCTCTCTTGTATCATATAATGGTAAAATATTTCTCTCAATTTTTATTTTTGTTACAATGAAAGAGAAATTTATTCTTGACATACTATAATCCGAACGTTAATCGTAACAACCTAGGCTAACCTCAAGGGCTGACTTCTTTGAACAATACAACTGCATATAAGAATTTTTTTTTCTCCAACGTGGTTGACTTCACTTATTTTTAAAATGTATATATCTCATTGATACATCATTAAAATTATATACTTTAACCTAACAATTATCGATATTTTCAGCCATAATACTTGTGGTAAGTGTGCAATTTGGAGTCGAAGCAAGGGGTCTAGTTGTTCGTTATCCGTGCCAAACATCTATTGAATGCAGCCAATGCTCATGCATCGAGGGTTGGTGTAAGTGTCAACCAGATGAAATACTGAAGTTCATTCCTCACGACATCTCTACACACCTGCAAGCACAGAAGGAAATGCCATTGTCTGTAATAACCCAAACCTTAATTAATAATTTCATAGAGAAAAAAGACAATTATACCCCTAAATAATTTATTAGGTTTTAAGTTGACTTTTGACCGGGAAGGAATTTGGGAATTCCGCTTGTACCGTTGTGTAGAGCGCAACGAAAAGAGTTCGTAGACACATAGTGGACTCGAATCCGAGGTGTAACGAAGAAAATATGAGCAAATTACGTAAAAGGGCAAAATTGTAATTTTTGAAAATCAGATTTTTAAAGCTGATTTTCTCTCTCTCTCTCTCTCTCTCTCTCTCTCTCTCCCAGATACCAACCAGCCCCGACACCCCCCTTCCTTGCAACCTCCGCCACATCCACCGCCACAGCCACCGAACCGGCCCAGACCTGACTGGCCAGGACCCGCCGTCAAGCCCGACACCTTCCCCAACCGTCTGCCGCCGTTGTTTGGCCAGAAAACTCGAGTTTTTCGCCGATTTTTAACAGAGCTAGGACTGCCGATTTCTTCCTCCAGCCACCAAATCAGACAAAATACATATGGATTCCTAGCTATTTTTCACAATCTAGCTGATGGTTGCATAGGATTTGTGAGATTTTGAGGTTGGAAGGGTTAAATTTTGAAATGAAATTTTGACAGTTTTGAGAGCTTGGTTTCAGCCACTTCTGGCCACTTTTTGCCCTAGTCCAAGAACAAAAGTGGTTCCAAATTAGGTGTTTTACCTAGGACAGGAGTTCGGGCCGGCGATTTGGAGAATTTCTGGCCGCCGGAATTTACTATGCACACCCACGTGCAGCACGTGGGCGGCCCATGAGCCAGGTATCATGGACCACTCTCAATCCTAGAACGAACCTCATGTTCTCACGAGTGCGTAGGAATTTGCGGATCTTAATTCGGATAACATTTGAACCCCGAACGGATCTCGCATAGTGTGCGATTTCCGGGTTCAATACGTTTGAACCATTGGATCGTAGTCAAACTGGAGTATGTTGATCTAGGTAATTTCAGGACCGTGTAGGATTTGACGGATCGTGAATCAGAGTCCTGGATACTCCGAAAAGGACAACCATAGGGTTAGTATTACGGAGAATCGTTTGTCCGTTAGATCGTGCGATCGTGAGCAATCCGACCGTCCGATCGAGACCAAACTCTCGGGACATATGTCCTATGCATGTTGGAACCTCTAGGAGTGATCGGATCGGAATTTGGAGGTCGTGGACCCCACGGGATCCCGGGTTGACTTTTTTTGTTTTATCGCTTTTGAGTCCCGAGTTACTCCTAAATCATGCCTATTGAGAGGAAAGCTAATGTGGGCATAGGAGTGATCTTTAAAGTGATGCACGCACTTTTAGGAGCCGGGGTTCAGGATTTTTAATTCAATATTATTTTATTGAGCAGATTTATTAATAAAATATTATGATGGTTATTCAGGCGCCCCGGGACCAGGTGACCCGCATGAGGGACCTTCAAAGGGTCTAGCTAGCTCAAAGTATCTGTGAGTGGACCGTTTGTTTTCATAAATGAATTTATGCAATTTAGTCTCATTATTTGATTTGGAATAAGTTATTCATTGATCAGAGTTTTAATAGCTTGATTTATTGCTTTTATATGTTTTATTTTATATGCTGCCGAGTTGAGAGTGCCTAGAGATTTTGGCATACCATAATTTTAGTTAATTAACAGATAAAATGGCAGTAGAGTTCAGAAGTAAATAAGAATT